GGCCTTGAGAAACAGGTTGCTTACAGAACGTTGCATATTGTGGCGAGAATCCTTCAGGTCAAAGCATACTAGATAAGCAATTCGTTCTCGTCAAGTCATTGTGCCATGCCTTTCATTGTGTGACGCCTTTCATTGTGTGACGCCTTTCAGTCTACTGGTCCTGTCTATGCATACACGTTGCAGTGTATGTCCTTCGTCACTATTCAAGGCGGCTGAGAGGCCGGGATCGCCTCCCTCATATGCGTGACATAATGTACATGTACGTCCTTAGGTAAAGGGTCTTCGGCTCTCTACCATGTCAAAGTCTAGGCTACCTCGCGATGGCCTTGAAATAGACCTTACAATGTGATCTTCGATAGCTTGACGTAGCATTGCCGAGGCTTGACCGTCAAACCGTCGTAGCCTCTATAGTCGGACAACTCAGGAGGACACGACAAAAAGTCAAAGTTCCAGATCAGCAACGCGGTCAACATGCGGAGCTCCAGATACGCCAGTCTCCGCCCGAAGCATGCTCTAGGCCCGAGCCCAAAGGCCATCTGCGGCCCCGCCGTGGCATCATACAATGTCTTCTCGGGGTCCTTATCTGATTTGACCAGCCATCGCTCGGGTTTGAAGTCCTCCACAGGATAAGGCGATGACTCCCAGCTTCGAACCCGACTCGACGCGTCGAGCGCTGTCTTGGACCGTAGACTATCGGGAATTTCGAAGGCGGGTTTGAGGATTCTCTTGCCAATTGTCACCATCATCACGTTTGTGCCCTTGGGAATATGATGGCCGAGGATCGTCGTATCCTGCATCGCTTCACGGTCCGTGACCGAAGTCGTCCCAGCGAAGCGGAGGATTTCTTCGATGGTTGCATCGAGGTAGGGGATGATAGTCTTTATAATTTCTTCGTGGGTCGGGTTCCGTCTCTGTTCTACCGCGACGGGCAAGCACTGGCGGAGGGCTTCGCGCAGTCGTCGTTGGGCGTCTGGGTTGTCTGTGAGGTATTTGATGCCCCAGCCAAAGGTTGTAGCTGTCGTTTCATGCCCGGCTAGCAAGAAGCCAAACGCCTGGGCATCGTGATTAGTATGCTGGACCTCCTGCATTGAATCGTGTGTCGATGCGGTGACTTACTTCGCTCTGCATACCAATAGACTTGTAGACAGGGGCCCTGCCTTCCTTCTCGGCTACCCGCTTCTCCCTATAAACCATGTGGTCAAGCGCCGAGCACGCAGATTCATTGGCCTCGAGTCTCTCCACGGCCGTCTCAAGTTCGTGATTGATAGATTCATCTCTGATTCTCTTGGCGGTCTTGATCCGAGGGGTCTGGTGGATGTACCATGATCGAAGCCATGGCAGAACCGCTTTTCTCGTTTCCTCGACCGTTTCGGCTAGTTGCAGCATCGCCCTAATGACTTCGCTTTGTTCACTCTCCGGAAAGACTACCGGTAAGCCGGCCATGGCTGGGCGTTCCATGCGGTCGAGGGCCGAGATCAGCTGCAGTCGACCCGGCAGCGTCATGTGTTGAAAGTTGCTGCTGTACGAGAATGCCAGGACGGCATCAAATGCTCCGAAATAAATGTCGTTGAAAGCTTCAAAGGGGTGGCCGTCGGCAAGGCGGGCCTTGTTCTCCCAAAGCTCAACCACCTGCTGAACGCTCTCATAGATGGGCTTAGCCACAACACCGTGCAGGAAAGCAGGAGTCATCAGGTCCTGTAGCCATTTACGCTGCCTCTTGAACATGGGGTCGTCGCTCTTCATCATCATGTGAAACTGGGGCATCAGTGGCTGAGAGATGTACCGCAAGAAATCGGTTCGGTCGAATTCCTTGTACCGTCTCATGGATATGTCCTCTGCTTCGCGGAAGTCTGTGACGATAACCGTAGGGGGAGAAAGGGGCCTCATAAATAGCTGGATGATGGGCGATTGGAGGTTCTCGGCTTGGGCTGCGACCCATCTGAACATTGAGATGCCTTGTTTCTGGCTATCGAGGAAAGAGTCAATGTCTCCCATGATGTTCTTGGCCGCATGTTTGTTGTGAGGTATTCCTGGGATGGGTTTGGGTAGAAGAGAGCGGTGCAAGAGATAAAGTAGTGTCATTGCGAAAATGGCAACGACAACACAGTATTGCAGGCCAGAGTTGAAAGAAAACATCTTGGGCTTCGGCTCTTCAATGGTCAAGCTTGTAACTTTGGAGTTGATTTAAGTCAGTCGCTACACTTCTTCGGGGTGGCAGATGCGCACCACGTTAAGTAGATATTGATGTAGTATGGGAATGAAAAGAATTTTTTCAGATGTCAAAAGGCAGCTGCCAAAAATCGCGGCAACTCTCCGAACTCTTTGTCCACTACCACTGTCCAAGCGGAACAACCACGGACACTTCATCGGTTCCGCTGCCGATGGAAAGCCTCACGGTTGACTCGACTACAGGGTAGGTGTCTCAAATAATCCAGATTGTCTAGTGTCCTCTCCTTGCTCAAATGGTACTTAGATGAGGTAAGTAAGTATGCTATGATAGGGCTTAGTCCGACTCCGACACCGAGTCCGAACTACGATACAGGCCTCCCAGTTGGCATACAGGTACCCATTATGAATCTATGTGCCCATTCGGCTCTCGAGGAGTCGCATAAAAATTAATCTATTGCGATTGCTGCGCAGAACGTACACTCGTTGCATGTGACAACTGCCGTACTAGCCAGCAGTTCTTACACGTCGAAAATGTAGACCGAGCCAAGGGTTGGTGACCACGCATATGTCTAAGCCTGTATTGACATTGACTTGACCACCAACGTTGCGAGGCCTTAACTTTTGACCTTAAGCAAAGCTGCAAAGGATTGAGAAGTTAGAGAATAGGTTTCCGAGTTAAAGATGAAATTCCGAGATGAACCAAAGTGACGCATTGAACTATTTCGACGACAATTAGATAGGGGAAGAAGAACTTCTCCAAGTCGGCTATTTGCGGCAACTTAGTCCCTCCGCATCGGGTACGTCATCCCCGGATATCTTACCCCGAGACCGGTGCTTACGCGGAGAACGACACCCACCAACCTCCGTCTCCCACAAGGCCTCATTTCCGTCGGCCGGCTTTCAAGCAGAAACATCACGGTGAAGTTGCTCGTTGATTGAGTACTTAGAATAACTTATTACATTGCTTCCGAGCGACCTTCTCTTGACGCTTCAACAAAATGGCTTCTCGCAAGATCCTTGTTTTACCAGGCGACGGTGTTGGCCCCGAGATCATCGCCGAGGCTGTCAAGGTCCTCGAGGTGATCCAAAAGTCCTCTGGTGTTAAGTTTGAGATCCGCTCGGAGTTGATGGGCGGATGCAGTATTGACAAGCACGGCGTAGCCCTGACCCAAGAAGTCCTGGACGTGGCCAAGGCAAGCGATGCGGTCTTGTTCGGTTCAGTCGGTGGGCCTAAGTGGTAAGTCAGACGGTCAACACTACTTTTCCAAGCGGCAATGACTGAGAATTCAAATACCCTCAGGGGTGCTGGCAAAGTGCGACCTGAACAGGGCGTCCTAGCCTTACGCCACGGACTGAACGCCTTTGCGAATCTGCGCCCATGCAAGTTTGCGAGCAAGTCTCTTGTCGACCGAGGCCCTATCCGACCCGAGCTCACAGAAGGAACCGACTTTATCCTTGTGCGAGAAAACTGCGGAGGTGCTTATTTCGGAGACAAGACTGAAGAGGAGGATTTTGCATCGGACGCCTGGGCGTACTCTCGGGCAGAAGTTGAGCGGGTTGCAAAGGTCGCTGCTGACTTGGCTATGGAGACGGAGCCGCCTCAGCAAGTCATCTCGTGTGACAAGGCCAATGTCCTTGCTGTTAGTCGACTTTGGCGTCGAGCCGTGACGGAATTTTTCGCGAGGGAGTATCCGCAGATCAAACTTTCTCACCAGCTTGCTGATAGCGCTGCCATGCTTATGGTCAAAGATCCTCGCTCATTCAACGGAGTGGTGCTCATGGATAACACGTGAGTATTGTCGCCCCAACAAGATTTCTGGTTCGAGTTAGCTCACTTAGTCGTTACGTGGTTCACAGGTTCGGCGACATCCTGTCAGATGTGAGCAGCGTGGTCCCGGGATCGCTAGGCCTGCTCCCATCAGCGTCGATCTCAAGCACCACCCCTGGCTCGGGAGGAATCGGTCTCTACGAGCCTATCCACGGAAGCGCGCCCGATATCGCGGGCAAGGGTAATAATAGAGCCTTGTCCCAGTCACACCAGAGAGGTCAAACGGTCAAAGGCTGATACTTTTCGTGTGCAGGGATCGCCAACCCAGTCGCCACTATTCTTGCAGCGGCAATGATGCTCAGGTACTCATTTGGAATGGTTGATGAGGCAAAGGCCATTGATAAAGCAGTCGGAAAGGTCTTGGACTCCAGGGATATTGGCGGACACGAGATACGGACCCCGTAAGTATCACTCGCTGCTCAACGTTTTGCGCACGTCTGACTGGTTTCTTCAGTGACCTGGGCGGTAGTGCAACAACAGTTGAAGTCGGCAATGCAATTTGTAGACAACTTGAGAGCTTGTTGAAGTAAATTTTCACATGCAGTTATAACGCAAAGGATCAATTCACAATGCGTTGACTCTTGATAAGGAGGCACAACGGAGAAAGAGAGTGAGAGGCACGCCCCAAGTCGATGTTGACGCGGCAGTCAATCATCCATGAAAACTAGCGATGCAAGTAGTGCAATGGTCCGGGAACTGACATGGGACATTTCTAAACATCAAGCGAACGAGCTCATAAAGATACCGATAGCTAAAATAGATCCACTACCATTTCTCAAAAGCCATTGTCTGAATACACGCACTCCCTTTGTCATTAGGCTCCACACAGACCTCTTGATCCAAGCCCGACCCCGAAGCATAGTCCGACCCCGAGCCCGACCCCGCGCCCGAACATAATCCCGTCACGATAGCTCGAGTCCATCAATCGACCTGACAACTCCGATTCTTTGCCTTCTGTCTAGATCTATCTCTCGATTCATTATACCCAGAAAGGTCTGACGCAATGGACGCCCGTCACCGTGAAGAGACTAGGGTACGACGTCGAAGGGCCCTTGCCTGTATCGAGTGCCGGAAACGAAAGCTGCGGTGTGACCACAATCGCCCTTGTAGCAAATGTCAACGGGCGAAGAATCGGACATGTATCTATCCTGCCAATGCTCCTCTTGCCAGTCCGGAAAATCATATCAACTACCGACAGGGTAGTCCGTCAAACATCCAACAGCGCCAGTCCGACCCGGAACATGGAATGTTAGCCCAAACACCACAGCCCGCGGACCAAGACCGGGTCTTCACCAGCAGCACCGATGGAAGATGGCACTCGTCTTCATTCGGAAGCGTCTTACTCAGTCAGATCTCGACTCCGGGGACTGTTTTCCCTCTCGCGATGACTGAGACTTCTACGCGCCGACCAGCACCAGAGCCACTCTATCCAGCCGAGGAGTCACCTACTATCTGCTCACTCACCGAGCTTACATCTTTACCGACTATAATGATTGTTAAATCACGATATATTTCACCAAGTCACTGGCTGTACTCAGTGATGCTAGTAAGTCATAGCAGTTTGTCGCGTTGACATGCAAGGCACCGTCCACTCACCGGCTTTACAGATGTTGCCTGCGCTGAAGTGGCTGGACAAGGAAATGGTCAAGCAGGAAGAGTGTTGGCAGGGCCTCATACACTGCAAAAGTCTGGGAGAATGCCTCAGAACACGGAGAATACTCGCAAACTCTCCCGGGCAATATGGCTCCTACATACTCGATCACGCCGTGTCAGCCGCGTTACTTCAGAATTACCTACGGAGCTTTGAGCAGATCTATCGGATTAATCATGTGCCGACGCTGCAGAGAGAGCTCGAGACATTTCTACAAGATCGCGCTTCGGTCAACCACGAATGCATTGTTAGACTTCAGCTTTGCTTTGCACTTGGAGCTCTAACATACGATGATCTATTCTCTCTTCGACCGCACGCTCTTCAATGGATATACGAGGCCCAATCTTGGCTTACCAACGCTGAGAAATCACAGCCAAGTATTTCGGGCATTCAGATCATGTGTCTCTTGCAGCTGGCTCAACAGACGACAGAGTCACTTTATGGGGACCGGATCTCAGCTCTCTCAGGCAACCTTCTTCGGTCTGCGATATGCATCGGGTTGCACCGAGATCCGATTGGGCTGCCGCGGATGTTACCTTTTCAGATCGAGATTCGACGCCGTCTCTGGACTACTGTGTTAGAGCTGGTTCTGGAAGCAAGCATAGAGTCTGGCCAGCCCGTTCTCATCTCATCCGAGGACTTTGACTGTAGCTTACCCTCAAATCTGAACGACGACCAGCTGCACTGCGAGTCTACAGTCCGTCCCATTCCGAAGAACCCCAGTCTTCACACCGATAGCTCTCTGCAAATTGCTCTCGGTCAGTCCCTGACGTTGAGACTGACAATCGCTAAATTGTGGAACAAGGTCAAGCAGGAGGCGAACTACGCCACAGTCCTACAGCTTAGTCCGCAGCTTACTGCCACCCGCCAGATTTTGACAACTACGCTCAAGAACTTGGGCAAGAATACCTCGCTATTGACTTGTCATATGTGCGAGATGGTACTTATGCGATACGTCTTTGCGCTGCATTTGCCTTACATGCTTCTACCTGATTCTGTCTTTTCCCATTCACGACGCGAGTGCATAGATGCTGCGCTGCATCTTACATACAGGGCTATGCCAGTATCCGACACGAACGAGTCACTCTCGGAGCTTCTACAGCAAGCAAATGACGAAGACTACTGTCCCGAATTTGGCCGATTGATAGTCTGCGGCTCGGGATCCTTGCGGTCGGCACAGCATATTGCTATCAGTGTGATCGCGGCAGATCTCAACACCATGATATCAGAAAGAGGCAAAATAGCGACAGGGTCGGCTCTACGTGTCGTGGAAGAGCGTTGGCTACTGAAGGCTGGTGTTGCATGGGCCAGACGGAGAATCGAGGCAGGGCAAGAGAATGTGAAAGATTATGTATTCTTTGCAATAGTGCTTGCTGCAGCAGAAGCTGTCTTGAAAGGCAAACCCGTCGAGGATGAGATGACAGAGCGATGTAAGGAGGCAATCGCGGACGCGAAGACGTTGCTATCGGATATGACTGGGGGAACAACCTTTGAGCCCGCTAGCGCTGTTCAAAATGCAGAGTGTGAGAATTATTTGGAGGATATCGGAGCTTTCTGGGCAAGCGACTTACCGTCCCTTGACTGGGGTGGATTCATGCCAATGCCACACAGCTAAGGCTCTTGGAGATTGTTTATTAGGTAGTAGAACGGTGTTGAAGTTAAGTAATGTTATGCTCAATTGGTGACGTTCCAAGTCATCCGGCCGTTCTATCGTCGTGGGGGGTCAAGGGCATAGTGATGAATGATTCAGAAACTCTATTCGTTATTTGAGGCCTCGGAGGTTATGTCACAATTATTTTCAATCATCTTTGAAGAAAAGGGCACGGGGTTCTTAGGCCGAGTCCGAACCGTGAGTCCGAAGACTGCTCCCCAGCGCTGTTGCACATAAAGGTAGGGGGGACGGGTTCGACAATAGCGAATCTCGCCAAGTTTGACACTATCTCGAAGCACCAGCTACTGTAGGATATCATGACTCTCCGGTTCTAAGTCTGCTCTCTGCACAATGAAGTCAACTCAGTCCCTGCGAAACGGCCCACATGTCCCAATTGGACAATATGGTGTGTGAGTGAAGCCCCTTTTAGCCTCTCAAAAGTGCCAACGGCTCTTTGATATGCTATGGACCAATTTGGAAGAGATTTATCATAATCACGTTAGCTAAATAATTTTCAATCAGATACAAAGGATGGTGGGGAAACATCGGTATGCGTTTTCGGTTTACAACTCATCGTCCATACCCAACCAAGTAAGGTACACAGGTGTTCGTGATGATTGATCAACAATGTGTCTCAGGTGGCGAGAAGCAAAGAGGTATTATCACGTACGGAATCGCACCAAACCGTCTAAATCCTCTGGCCCAGGCTGGCCATAATGCTGTCTTCAATATATGGCGACGCTTCGCGAGCCAGGTCTGGTATTTCGGGCCATCTCTGGCTGCGGCCTGGTACGTGATGTACTGGGCGGATAAGAGGTATGCCTATATGCGTGAACTAAATCCCGCTGGTCCCTCTTTTATGCTAATCGAGGACTGTTGACAGGAACAAGTTTCTCAATTCAAAGGTGGGCAGAGAAACATATCGGAGAGATGAGTAGCGACAGGTTCATTCACGATCATTATGCTGTACTCACCCGACCAGTCACTTTACTTGTTTTATTCATGTAGTATTACACTTCCCTCTGCACGGCTACTCAACTTCTGTAGTAGCACTCGCTCGAATTCTCGCTTTAATCGTAGCTAATCAAACCCATGCTCAATGGGAATTAAGCCGGGGCTCGAAGTATAACTCTCATGTCAACGATGATCGACGGGATCATACCTGTTTGCTATAGCTTTCAAGACAGCACCACTATCACGGCTTCAAAATAGTTCCGATAAGTTTGAGCGGACGATTTCACCTTCGAATTATGTAACTCTTAATAGATACCTGACCGCCATTCTGATTGCTTCAAACACCGACTTGGAACTCGAGCTGATCTTTACAGCCTAATGTGGGCCAGCTGAGCAGATGGCCCTCGCCTTACCTACCAAGCCGATGAAAATCTACAGCATCCTTATCAGCGATCTTCGGAGCCAAGGGAGTGTGCGCCGTAGTAGTGAGGGTCACTTGTGATCCGGTCCGACTATTCTCAATCACCGAAAACCAGACGCTAGTGGATCTCTTCCGAGCAGCGACGCCGGAGCAAACCCCGAGATCCACACAACGGACCCCCGTGAGCCATCGGCACTGCAGTCGGTAGATGTGTACAGCCTTATCGTAGATTATCATGATTAAACTAATCATGATAGGGATTTCTTCAATATCGAGCCACAATCTTCCATCGTTGTAAACTTGGCAAGTGGCCCAAGTGGCCCATCTCTGGGCTATCTTGATGCCATTCACCGAGCGGGTGATGTAGGATAGTGGGATAATGAGCTCATTTTCAGGGTCATCAACTTGCTTATCATGAAAATCATTAATCAAGACCGATTGATTGTATTACGTATGAAGGCATCAATAAGGCCATGATGATGCAGGGCAGCTCGAGTTGAAGGCAGGTTGCGTTGTCATATAAGTCGACGAGGATAATGGACTACGCCGCATTTTTCTGTTCACCCAGACTACACCATTGACAACCCGAATGGTCGACTCTAACTTCAGAAGAGACCCAACATAATGAAGTTTTCCCGCTATATCTTGGCACTCTCGGCCCTTGGCTCGGCGATTGCTGCTCCGACTTCAAATAGCAGCACCGTGGACCGATCAAACTTGACAATCGCGTTAATCCGTACGCCTCCGCCGAACTGGCCGCTGCCTCTCACGAACTACGACTACACCGACATCACTTTCAACATCAGCGAATGTGTAGATGTCGGAATCGAGTTGATCAAAGAGGCCAAGGCTAGCGGTTCCGATGTTGTCGTCTTTCCAGAGCTTTGGTTCCCCGGGTAAGTCCCAACTCAGCCTAAGGCTCAACCATCTAAATGTCGAATGCAAGTATCTGAACCATCTCGAATAGATTCCCCAAGGGTTCGGACAGCCACTACAACTTCACGCGCGATTACCTTCCGTCGTACATTGAGAATGCCATCGTGATTGGCGATGCGCAGTGGAACCGCCTGATTGCCGCGATCCAGGCAGTGGGCATCTACGCCAATCTTAACTTTGCAGAAGTTGACGGCGACTACATGTACATGTCTCAGGCATTGATAGACCCTCAAGGAAATATCATGCACCACCGCCGTAAGCTTCGGCCGTCAGGCGCAGAACGATACTTCTTCAGTGACGGTGTGGCCGAGGATCTCAAAGTCTTAGAGACTGACTACGGCCGATGGGGAATGCTGGAGTGCGGAGAGTACGTCTACAAAGCCCACCTGACCCAACTGACTGCGCCTTGCTCCTACGAGTGCCGGAGCTGACCATACCACTTTCAATCTAGGCATATGTACCCCAGTATGACGTTTAACATGTACGTCCAGCGAGAAAATGTTCACTTCGCGCCTTTCCCCTATCTGGCCGGCGTCGGAGACGAGACTTCGCTTTGGTGGGAGAACGAATGGGTCAATACCGGCACCCTGAGCGTCTACTCTGTTCTCAGCGGTGCCTACTCCTTTGTCGCAGCTATCGGCGCGACTTTCGTGATAGACCCGTTCGGATCTCGCGTTGCTCACGTCAATGCCAACGCAAGCTTCGAGGAGTTCCCGATGCTGTACTACAACCTCAACACTAGCGGCTTCAACAGCTCTCAGACGTATGACATTAATGGGCAGGCTTCATGGGGGACGTTGAGCCAAATTGTGGATAGCTTTCCGGGGTATGTGCCAAAGGTGGAGGGGGAGTTCGTCAAACAAAAGAACGTCTCGATTGATTACTTGATGACGGGGGAGCTTGTCATCCCGTCTTAGAGGTAGATAAGGTAGAGTCATCTGATTCTAAATTTGGCTTCCCGAACAGTGGACTGCGGGTAGAAGTGGCACCGTCTCTCAGAATATCATCCCACGGTATGCCGTTCATCAATTCCGCGGTGATTACTCCTCAACTTGGTTGTGGTTCGAGGCCCCCTTCATTCCGGCTATTGTTGCTGTGCAGACATCAAAACCATCTCCAGAAGTTCTAATTATGGGAAGACAACGATGAGATACTGATGATAACCTAGTATAGCTCAAAGGAATAAACCATCAAGGTGTTCATCAGTGGATCACATTGAAGGTGTGGCTGTATGAGGCCTGGATTACTCCTGATGATCGGCCATGATCGTCCTACGTCGGGAACGCTCCAGGGTAAAGATTCATGCTTAATCGTATGCTGCCAAGATCTAATACATCTCAAACATGTCAACTGGGGGCTAGCTCTTTTGTTGGTTGGTTGTACCGATTTGGCAAAGGGTCGCGTGCTATCTGAGAGCGCGGTTGGCTGTGCGGCTGGTGCAGCTATTTTAAGGACAGGACCCATACGCGACGTTGCGAACTCGCACACCCTACAATCAAGAGGGGGAAACTTCGCTGATGACTTTGCACAATGGATCAAAACCACTAATCCGACCAGTTCCACCTTGAGTGATCCCCTCGGCGAGCAAGAATTCCTAGTATTCACCGAGCGTCGAGCGTAATTCGAACCCAAGAGCAGCAAATTCTGCAGTGGTTTCAGGTACATGGTGGTGTAGGAAGCTTGGAGGTCTTGGCTAAAATCGAGCAATTGTATCAAACCATGTTCGGCAGTTCGACACTCCCTGTTCTCCAGCACTTTTGAAAACCGCTCAACCTTTTCTACAACCATCCAGGCTATCAGGTGAACAAATTTGCTGTTGAGTGCAGTTCAAGATTCGCAACGATGCTTGCCAACTTAAGTTGACTTGATTGGCTGGAAACTGGAGGCATGTTTCTCTGTACCTCATCATGCACAGCTTGGGTCCCAGGACGCATCTAAAGTGTTAGTCATATCCCGGGGACCCTCAAATTAGTTGCGAGCAGCCCGGCCACCGGGCTACTCCGTCTCTCAGGTCTCTCCGGATCCGTGACCCATTGTAATGCTCCAAAAGAACCTCCGGCTTGTGGGGGTCTGTTCGGCCGACTCAAGGTTGCAGCACTAATAAGAGAGAAGGGAGTAGAATGAAGCTTGATGTTGAGCCTGGGCCACTTCTAAGCCTGCGTGCTCCGCGGCAGCGACTGATTCGCTGGCTAAAGACAATAAGCTTTCTCCTAAACACAGATGAAAATGTCAAGCAGCATCACCCATGCGTCTCATGAGTCGTGAGTGTCTATGCTTGACTTGTCTGCGACAAAAAAGATGCCCCCTACAGCGCAGTCCAAAGCCTTGTGTGCTTACTTTCGAGGGATCTTTTCCATGAAATGAACTTTATTCGGTCGGGGATTCCCCGTGTTTACTACGACTGGCCAGCCTGTAAGCCTTGAAGGAAGCTTCTTAAATGGAGCTTTTTCGGAACTGGTAATCATTCCCGTCGGATATTACGGTTGTTGCGTCCCATTCCGGGCGATGCAGATTGTGAAAAGCTTTCTTTGCCAAGTCCAAGTCCCAATTTTAGAGGGGATACTCCGTACAAAAAGTCCCATCGATTGAAGGCCCCTATTCCTGCCAATAATCATCCTCGAATAGCCACAAGATGGATCGGAACACAGAGCCC